TTGTTCGTATCCTCACCAAGCCGTCTGTCCCTCGTTTCCTTCTCTGTGTCGATGGCCACACAACTGGGCCTCTCCAGCCACAAAGGCTCACCGCCCCAAAGTCACTCGTGGCTCTTGGCTCCTCCTCTCCTCAGCCTCCCATTCAGCCTCTCATCACAGCCTGGCTGTTCTTTCCTAATAAAGTTCTACTTTCAACTTCTACTCCTACCAGAACTTCTCTGGATTTAAAATAACTCTGAAGGGGTGGATGGTTCCACCCCTGGGGGTGAGAAAAAGGAACTTCTCGCCAGGAAGTCCACTCGCCAGCCCCCTCCTCGGCGCAGCTGACTCTGTTTTCCTTCATGTTTGCTCCAGCTGGCTCCACATGAGGTCACAGGCAATCTGAGAGGAAAACGCCCCCGCAAAGGAAACTGTGACCCAATCATCCAGGTGCCACCTGAGGCACGATGCTTCTATTGGTGCTTTGGCCCGACAGCCACCGAGTATTCACAGGGTCTGGCACTGTTTCAAGTTCTTTGTACCTATCAGCTCACTGCACACCACAGATGCCCTGTAAGGAAGGCACCATTATTCTACTTACTCGTAGGCGAGGGGAGCAAGGAGCAGGAAGCTACAAAGTCGCCTAGGACCACACTGCTACCATGGTAACTAATAAAACCAGAATGTGAGCCCCAACCTGGAGTCCACCTCCCCCTGTCCAGCCACCGTTACTCTGCGCTGGTCCCTGACATTTGCACCACTTCTCTCAAGCCTTCCCACCACCTGCCCTCGCTGGGCTCCGGCCCACCCGCCCCTCTCCCACTCTGACTGCCCGCTCATAGCACTGTATGTGTGATGGCACCTTTACTCCCTGTGTACTCTCGTCCTCCAGCCCTGGAAGCTTCCTCCGGCTATTTCCCAGAAAAGGAACCACCTGCACTCGGAGCCCCGGGCCAGGCGGCTCCCTCAGGAACAGGCCCTGCCTGTCACTGCGGGTCCCTGTCCCCCAGTGGGAAGAAGGAGCACCTCCCCTGTGGCCCATTACTTCCTGGCCATACACTGGGCCGCTGCCTTGCGCCCCGCCGCCTGCTGCCTGCCCTGAGGATACAGTGTGATCACGACAGACGGAAATGCCTGCCTTAAGAGCTTTCATTTAGCAAAGAGACTCAGGCGAGAATCATGTTGTGTAGTGTGCTGGAAGGAGAAAGTGCTGCAGAGAATAGTGAATCGGGCTTAGGCAAATGCCCGGGGATTGCAATTTTAAGTGAGTGGCCAGAGTGAGCCCCTCTGAGAAGGTAACACTTCAGCAAAACTTGCAGGAAGTGAGGGGGCTGGCCAGGTAGATACACTCCACGAATAGGGAAGGGCAAGGGCCAAGCCTGATGGAGGGAGTGTCTGGGGTGTGGAGGGATAGGGGGCTGGGAACAGGCACAGCCTTTCAAGGCCTGTAAGAACTCGACTTCTGCTCTGAGTTAAATGGGCAGTTGGGCAGCGGGAGGGTTTTGAGGGGAGGCGTGACAGGTCCTGCCTTAGGTTTTAGAAGGATGACTTCCGGGCAGCATCGCAATACCGCTTGATGTTTGGGGCCCTGAATTTAGAATAAGGACACTTGACCGGGCTATAGGTTTTGTCCAGCTACAGCCAGCTGTACAGATGCAGATGTAAGCACATGTTTGGACTTGCTAAGACAGCAGGCACAAAGAGGAATTGAGGGTGTCAGAGCCTGCAGAGCTCCCACAAAATATCACTTGGTCCCCAGTGTGGAGGTTAGGGACACAATCCTTCCTGTTCCTATTTAGTTTCCTCTTCTTCCTCCTAGTCCCAGATATGCGTCTTGACCCAGAGATGGAGGCTACCAAAATTCCCAAAGCAGGCAGAATCCCTACCCCGCTCCAGTGACTGGATTTTGTTGTTGGGTAGCATGTCCACTTATTTCTGCATGTCAGTTTCCGCGGTAGACTGCAAGTTTTAAAGGCAAGAGTACTATGTCTTTTGTATCTGTTTCCTCTAAAGCAGAGGTTCTCAGCTCTGGCTGCACCAGAATCACCTCAGACATTGAACTCTCATGATATCTGGGTCCATCTCTAGAGACGTGATACAACCAGCCAGGAGTGCAGCCTGAGTGCCGGGCTCCTAACAAAGCCCAGGTGACTGAGGGTCACCAAGGCCGAAGTCCTCCAGCTTATGTGTCACAGATCCTTACCAAGAGAAGGTACTTGATAAATAGTTGTCAGAAAGATTCATGCATGCCTGGGAAAGCAGGTAACTTCTAGCCAATCTCCTAGCCTCAGGTCCACTTCTCCAATAAGTCATCCTGGGCACTCACTTCTATAAAACTAAGCTTCTTGGAATTCCAATTTCCAATTCTGTCTTGAAATGTTCCTGTACTCTCTGTACCTGCAGCAGTGGCCCCCACACTTTGGTCCACAGGCTGGACTATCTGAGGAACGTGAAAAGACTGCAGATGCACGCGCCTCAGGCCTCACGATGTTTCTGCACAGTTAGCACGAGGCCCGAGAACCTGCATTACAGCGAATCTCCCCTCCCAATCCAGGAGGGATCTATGGATCTGCAAGATAAATATAAACGCCTTCGCCATTCCTCAAAGTTCTCCACAATATGCTACTGCCTGATTTGTTATTCCTCTTTCCTCTAGGATTCATCCCAAATCTTCNCTCCCAATCCAGGAGGGATCTATGGATCTGCAAGATAAATATAAACGCCTTCGCCATTCCTCAAAGTTCTCCACAATATGCTACTGCCTGATTTGTTATTCCTCTTTCCTCTAGGATTCATCCCAAATCTTCCACCACAGGGAAGGGAATCAGCACACGGAGCTTTCCAGCTCCGGCTCTCTCCCACTTCTGTTCACGCCCTGCGTCCACCTCCACCGACTAGTCATTCTTCCCTTCCTGCCCGGAAACCCGCATTTTCCCAGACGCGCCTCAAGCCCCACGACTTCCTCCAAAGCCTTCCAGGTTACCACAGCCCATGATGTGACCCGTCTTTGCCTAACTAAAGTACTGATTATTGGTATAATTACCACCTTGGATTTAACTTGTTAACAAAACTACGTGTTGTTTGTCTAAAGAAACTACTGGCCTCCTGTACCACAGGAGCACGTTTTCCCCTTTGTATCTGAACCATGCCGGGGACAATGAATGGATAAGGGAGTCTAGATACTTGCAGATTCTTCTTCCTTAACACTTTCCTCAAGGCTTTTTGTAATTGTCACTATTTAATTATTGTTAAGATGATTCCACATATCTTTTCAGAAAGTTCCAGCTATTGTAAATGAGGCCGTGAAGATAAACCTAGCTGGGTTTTTTTCGTTGTGTTTTTAATGTCTCCCCTACTATTTATACAGCAGCGCAGATAAGCAAACATACTTCACCTATTGCAATAAAATAAAATTTAAAAAGCAGATGTGCTTCCTGCTGTAACAGCTTTCTGTACCTTCTTGCATTATATTATTCTTGAGCCGTAAGAGTCATCTCACGTATTTTATTTCCACTTATGACTAATTACACTTTCTGGTTCCTATAATCCAAAAAATGTTGCTAATATTTTTTGTATCCAATTCTCTGAAAATCTTTGAAGAATTTTAAAGATTTTTATTGACCTAACAGTTCCTAGGTGTTCCACTATAATAACAAATCCTCAACTAGGGGCTTAGCAGGATTTATAAATGTCTAACTTCTTAGTTGTGATAGACTAGAAACACCCAATTTAGAGGCTTTTAGTGTCATAATGGGAAAAACACACTACATATTACTATTTTCCTAGGAGCTAGGAGGGGACCAAATCTCTGGTTTATAGTAAGGATTTCAGAGGAAGTTTTGATGTATTAAAGGCTACATGTACAAGATGCTGGTTTTTCAAAGTTTAAGCTTGTAATCTTCTGTAACACCAATACCTATAAACTCCACGAGAACGGAAGTCCCGTTTTCTTGTTCAGTACAGCAACTTTAGAAAAATGGTCTAGCAGTTACTCGAAAAGTTAAAGTTACCATACCTAAGAGAACTGAAAACTCATCCACACAAAAATCTGTCCACACAAAAATTTGTACATAAATGTTCATAGCAGCATTATTCATAACAGCCAAAAAAAGTAGAAACAACTCAAATGTCCATGAAGGGGTGAATCAGTAAGCAAAGTGTTGTATATCCATGAATTGGAATATCCTTCAACTATATAAAGGAATTAAGCTGTGATACACACTAGATGATGGATAAACTTTAAAACATTATGCCAAGAAGCAAATTACAAAAGGCGATATATTGTATGATTCCACTTAATGTGGAGAGTTCAGAATAGGCAAATCCATAGAGAAAGTAGATTAGTAGTTGCTGGGGGTGGGGGACGAGGAGAGGGGAGTGTCTGCCGGGTAGGGGTGGGAAGGCTTCCACAGGAGGGTGAGGAAGAGGTTCTGAAACTGGCCAGCGAGGTTACACAACCTTGTGCATCTACTAAAACCACTGAATGGCTCACCTTAAAAGCGTGAAAATTAGAGCATATGAACTACCTCTCAATTCGAAATACATATTAAAAAATGTTTAAATGACATGAAAAATAATCCCTTCCATTACATGATAAGGAGGGAAGCATTAAAAGGTGGAAAGAAGATTCTTAAATTATGAACTCTTATATTTTGAAGGCAAGAACTGTGTCTTATTCATCTTTGTTAACACAGGAGTTATGCTTCCAAGGTTGTATACTGTACCCTCTGCATCAGTTAAGATGCTTCCCATCACCAGTTATGGAAAATGCAACTCAAACTCACTTGAACAAGAGAGGAATTACTGGTCTGTTTGACTGACAAAGTCCAGATTCAAACTTCCTATAGGCTTGGTCCTCAAGGACCTGATTTATTTCCATATGTCAGTTCTGCTCTTCCTAGAGAACTATGACTGCTGACTAGATTCCATCTTGCTGCTAAGATGGCTTCTAGTAGTTTCTAGAGCTCCAAGCTTCCTCAGTCAATTCCCTGGTAGCTTACTCAGAGCTGGAGTGGTGGTACCTGTTAGTCTTCATTGAGCTGATGTCGGTTTGGACCGTAACGAAAGGAACTGCTGAATCGAGCAGCACAGGGTCAGAGGACTAAGCCAGGAGGCTCAGTGCTGGGAAGCCAGGCTGACATCATTTTCTTGCTGGGAAAAAGAGAGCCACTCATTCAGAAACTGACTCAACAACCTCCAAAATACAAGCTTCAGAGTCAGAGAACAAATCCTGTCTCTGCTGCTCATTGGCTAAGTGACCTGGAGCACAGTGCCTAAATTCTCTGCCCTGTCCCTTTCAAATGGCAGTGACAATATCCTCCTAACAGGGTTGCACTGGAGATTGACCGAAATAATGCCTACAAACCACTTAGCCGAGTGCCTACAAAAATCACTCAATAAATACTTGGTGCTATGTTATAATAAAGATAATTCATAAGAAATGTGTTTCAAACACCTAAAATGCAGCCATTTTTTAAAATGTTATTTGATATTCTCCATGTGACTCTGAAATGTATATATCTGAGAAATGAGGTGAAGTTTTCCTCATTTATCAGAAGCAAAAACAGGACGGAAGACAATTTACTAACAGAGACAAATCTATGGCAGAGCCAAAAACCAAATTTCTTCTTATCAATTGTCTATACAAGCTAAAACTGCCAGCTCATGGGAACAGCAATTCTTGGAACCATAGAGAATAATGCATTGCCCAGCCCCACAGTTTAACTGAGAGAACTGTCAAGTCCCAGAAAGTCAACAGCGGGCAAAAGGCCAAACAATTATTTAAGATATAGTCAGTTAACAGATCTCATAGCCTCCTCATAGAAGTAATAATAAGGGCGCATATTCTTTCCAGGCACTGTTCTACGTACTTTTCATACATTGATTCATTCCCACATGTTGGCTGTATACGTGGCTTTCCATACTTGACCCTATTTACTGCCTCAGGGTCTTCTCGGCAGCTCTCACAGATGGGGGACACCATGGATCTGAGCAGCTGAGAGATTCCCAAGGGCACAGCTGGGGTGCGAATCCTGGCCTTGTGTTCCATTGCCTGCTTTTGGCCTTACATTCTGCGTTCTGCAAGGCCCAACTGATAGCCATTAATCACATGTGGCCATATTTAAAATAAAGTGAACTTAATTAAAATAAAATAAAATTACAAATTCCATTCTTCAACTGCATCGGCCACACACAGTTCAAGGGCCGTCAGTAGTCACCCATGGCCGGTGGCTTTCTCTGGGCAGCACAGACAGAATATTGCTGTCATCGCAGACGTTCCTGCAGCCCTGTGCTCCCGCATGTTGCCCCACTGCCTCGTGGATCGAGCAGTCTGTCTGCATCACCTGCCTACTGCAATAGCTTCACCTGAATTCAAAACAGTTAGGTTCCTTCATTCTCTTTGAATAAGCAGCTTACTTAGGGCCTGCATATACACAGCTATTCAATATAACATATCGAAGATTGTAGAACTAGAAAATGTTTTCTCTCTCCTGAAAAATTTAGCATTTACTTGAATGAATTCTCTGACACCTACTGCAGCTCTGCAATGTGGAACGATGCATAGGGCAGCGGAAAGATAGATTCAACTGATGAGTAATTTCCAAATATTATCTTGCACTCTTGTTGCTGAGAACCTTAAATGCATTCTCCCATAGAATCACTGACACACATGGTGGCTAAGTCCTAATTTCCTCTGACCAGAGCTCATTTAACCCATGATTTATCTGAAGCACTGTATCATTTGCTATAATGGGACCTTGTCGCCCAATGTACAATGAAAGCATGGAAACGGAGGACTTGCAGGGCACATTCTGGCTCTGGCACATTCTTTGTAATAGTGCTCCTGCTGAGGCAATGATTTTCTCATCCAAGTAACCCAACTTTACGTTGAGGCAGGAGTCAAGAAAAAGCAAGAGCATGGGGTTTGGGGGAGGGGCTGTTCATGTACACCTCGCAGTGGAATCAGATTGCACAGTGTCCGCGTTCTTCTATCCTAACAAAGTCGAGAACCCAGGAAGTCCCAGAAAGGTTTGACGACAATCAGTTGTTTTCAATCAAAACCTTTTCTTTCTGCCCTTCTCTCTTCCATCCTTCTACTTTGCTGCTGCCTTCTTCTACCTCCATCGGAAAGCAGTGCCACAGTCTTCAGGACTCAAGTTTCTCATGATCTATTATGAGAATTTAGGGAATGTGTTCAGCCTTTAAAAATCCCCCTCCTCCTCTTTCTTCATCGCCTTTCCCCCTTCTCAGTAATAGCAGCTACCACACGGGGAACTGACTAATGCCAAAGCATTGTGGGAGGTGTACTGTCCCTATCACCTCAGTTAATTTCAGAACAGCCTCAACTGGTAGGATTAGGAAACTGATTTAGAGAGAGCAAGCCAAGGTGTAACTGACCCAGGCCACATAATATTGTCAGTGAGACGAAATTACAACGTGGAATTCTCTGAGCCATAGGAAACTAAATGGGTAGCCTGTGGGTCACGGTTAGGGTGTGCAAGAGTGCTGGGTTACGGCTACATCTTGAATTAGTGTCTGATAGATAAGTGGTTAGATTTAGTAGACTTGTGACTTGGTGAGAGAAGAGGTGGAGCCTGCACATGGATTTAGGCCTGTGTGTCTCCTAGCACTGCGGGCTCCATCACCAGAGTGGCCGCCCTTAGCATCCTCAAATCAGGACTGCGTAGTGCAAAGGGCTTTCCCAGGGCATAAAGGAACCTTGGTTTTCATCCTATTCCAGAATAACTTCGACGGTTTCTGTGGGGAAATTATTTAAAGTCCCTGGAATTCAGGTTCCCTACTTGTAAGATGAGGAGCTGAGGCAGAAGAATTTTGAGGTCCCTTCTAGCTCAAAACTAGAATTCCATTCCACCAATATACACATATTTAGTCTTCCTCCTACGTATGTTTTTTTCACTACATTTTAACCGATGACAACGAGTATTTACTGACTGTCACTCTGAGCCAGGCATTTCACATGCAGAATCTCACTTAATCTATATCACCACCTTGCAAGGTAAGTACCACTGTGGGTCAGTTTTATGATGCAGAAATTGAGGCCTCACCTAGGAAGGACAGAGGCTGGACCCAAACTGCAGGCAGTTGACTCTATACCCAGGGGTGCCCTGACTCCTGCCCACGTCCCCATGCCCTCCCGCTCTGTGCTCAGAGGCCATCTGCTAGACTTCCCAGAGAACACAGTCTAGCACTAGAGAGCAATAATGCAGGAATTAACTCTCAAGGAAAAAAAAAAAACAGGAAAAAGAAGCAAATATATTTTGATGATTAGCCTTCTCGGAGGCTTTGATGCAGCAGGCATTTTAATTTTTACCTGGCTCACTGAACTCCAGAATTGACTTTCATTTGTGAATTAAGCTGACTTCCACTGAATCTTTAAGAAATCATACGACAAACACTGCCTATAGAAGCTCCATTAAGCTTAAAATCCTTAACATAGTTTTTTTTTTAATTGTCATTTCTTCCTGCAAGTTCACTAATTTTGTTTTTCAAAGGTAAGGATAAACCTGGCTCCATGCTACTCTCAACAAATGAGCCTTTAGCATATCCACACCTTAGCTGCCTAAAGTCCTTGGACACAACAGCTTCATATAGTACCTGAGCCCCATCCATGTTTAGCAAACACTAGTAGTTTATAAGGGCTGTTATGATATTTCTGGAACTATGGATCATTATTCTCTTGGACCAGATCTCTCCTTATGAAAGCAGTAAGGCAATAATCCATTTGTTAGTTTGTTCTCTTATTAGCTTAATCAAAACTGTCATATGAAAATTCCTCTTGTGGGATAGCTGCATGGGTAGATATTTAATAGAGCAAATATAGTAGTATTTAATAGTAGGCTCTAACTGGTAGGTATACAGATGTCCATTGTATAATTCTTTCAACTTTTATATTTGAAAGCTTTCATAGTAAAATGCTGGGAATAAATCCCTCTTATAAAATATTTATTATATATTCTGCAAATATTTATTGATTCCTTACTATATACAGGTATATGCTGAAAAATGCAATGGCAAATGCATTACAGTTTGATGCAACAATCCTGCAAAACTGGCTCATGCTGGACTTGGAGTCCAAAGCAGAAGACCAGATATCCTTTCAGTTGAAATAGGAAAACGCCATTGACTCTCCCCAGCTGGGAAGGCCCCAGTCATGAGATTGCAGAGAGGGAACCAATCAAAGCCTATCAGATGAGTTTGAAAAACTCCCCACCCACACCCATTCCCACCACCTCCATATCACTTCCAAAACTCTCACCCTAAGAGAATTCCCCCCAAATAGAACATTGACCAATTGAAGGCTGTATTGAAATGTCTCCTTTTTACTCTGTGAAACCCACCGTCCTTTCAAACCCCTTCTGGTTTCTTGCAAAAGAAATGCAATAGTAGCTGACTGCCTTACTCAAGTAAACTATGAATAGACAGACTGAGGGGAGCTCTGTAGGTGGCCTTCTACCTTCTGATAATTGTCAAGTATAGTCGCTTATATGGTTAGTTAAAACTGGTTGTGAGAACCCTTCAAAAACAAATATGCACATGGGTTAGTTTTCCCCCATAATTACACTCTCCCTTGCACCGAGTTTGCTTTTAAGGGAGAAAGGGATGAAGTTACAGGGAGCTTGCCCAGAACCACACAGAAGCCAAGGTGCCTCCTTGGGAGCATCTTGCCTTGAAAGGTCATATGCAATATGTGCCTCCTGGAGAGAAATATTGGGATTGCTGAGTATTCAACTTTCACACTGCATCAGTGTGCTAAAATGCTTTGCCCTCCCCAAAGTAAAGGATAAAGAAGTATAAACAGTAGTGGCTGCCTGTGGGCTGCCTAATTACTTTGTGAAGCAATGGCCTAAATGATCATAACTGAGTCACTCCAACAGACTCAATAAAAATTATGGCATTGGTCCATCTGTCTTTATTCTCTCTCCCTTCCCACCTGATCAAACACACAAATTCTCATTCTTCAACATTAATTCGAGACTCATCTTACTCACGATGCCTTCTCTCATCATAACAAATCAAACTGATTAACCTCTCCTTGAAGGAGGTGGGAAAGGGAAGAGAGGAGAGAAGGGTGGAAGGAGGGAGATGAGCCTGTTTTATAGACTTGCTGAAAATGAAATGGAACAGGATCAAAGACCCTTGCAAGGACATGACTGCCACACTTAAATCTTAAAGATGACAGTCAGAATGGCATGACTGCTCAGTTTCTCTTTCACACTACATGCATTTTTCATCTTTTCACAGAATTGTTGCTGTGCTTCATACATACTTTCCCTCCAAATTTCCTCATAGAGCCTCATAAACCACCTTCAGTTCTGAATCAACAAAGCTTACACCAAAGGGAAGACTTAGCAATGTAACACCCAGTCAGTGCAATAGTCTTCCCATCATTTTGTCAAATAGGACTTTGGAGTTCCAGTATGGGTATGAGATGATGTAATCTAACAAGAGATAGCAGTGCCTATCAGACAGGTTATTCAGAACTGGCTGATTTGTGAGACAATCATGATCGACTTGTCTCTAGATGTCTGTACAAAGAATCTAGCTGACATCCTCTAGGATTCCTGTGGGTAGTAAGTTAGAAAAGACCTTTGAGTCTTTCCAACTTGAAAATTTGAATGAGGTTTCCAAGACAAAACCTAAACAAAGAAAAAGAAGTAAAGAATGGTGGTGGGATAATAAGTGAAAAAATGTTAAAAAATGTACCATGGTTTCAAAAGGCTGACCCATAAAGAGTCCATCAGTTGGGAACACCTGTTACATGGTAGGTTCCTAGAGTAAGAACCCAGAACTTGTAATACAATGGGCTGGGCATGTTTTAACATACTGTTACTTAAGCACCCTGTTCTCTGGCTTAAACACACTGCTGACTGTTGCCTGTGACACACCTTCGAGGGTTCCTGCAGACCCAGGTGGACAGGTAAGTTGGGCACAGCACAAAAACGGGCCACCCAATGACTCAGAAGCTGCTCATCAGCCTTAAGCTCAAATCTCCAGGTCTAGTCAGGCTGAGAGGCTGGGTCCAAAGGGGAGGCCAAAGACACAGGCCCTGTAAGGGGAGCCTAGAAGTACAGGTGAATCCCTGATCCTCCTGGAAACTGGATGAATTTTTGCTCCTCCAAAACTCATTTGATTACCCAAATGAACCTTCACTTCCTCACCAAGAAATGGAAATAACATGCAAGCACTTAAAATAAGAAAACAACAATTCTGCTTGAAAGTAACCCCCAATGAGAAGGCTACTACCACTTACTGGAAAAAGAAAACAAAATGGTGGATCCTTTTTGACATCTATTTGACAACTATTTTCACTGACACTTACTTTAAGTATGACAGCAGATGGGGAGAGTAATGACTAACAAATTGAATCATCGACACCATCATTTGTCTGACTGTGCTGGGTGTGGCGGACATTGCTAGACGTTTAGGTATTATCACTTCCCTACTTCATCCTCATTCAGAGAATCTCGATTTTTACGGCAATGGCAATGTGCTGGCTAAGACTTCCATCGCCAGACTCTCCTGCAGCTAAAAGTGGCTGCGGGACACGGGTCAGGACACGAGAGGTACATTTACTCGGTATCTGCAAATGTTCCAAGTCCTGTGACAGCCACTTAACCTTTCTCCTTCATCTTTCTTTCTCATTCTAGAATGCTCACATAAGTCTTAGGTGCTCAGCAGTTATACACAAGCAGAAAGGTGAAATGAGCCTGGCCCTGGGGCAGCTTCCCTGGGCTCTGAAATGACCATCTCCATACTCTGCAAGAAAAATGAATCCCTTGCTTGTTTAAGCAATATTAGGTTTCTGTCACTCTCAGATAAATCTATCCCAAGTAGAAAGTACATATCAAGAAAAACCAAAAATTTCCAAAATTCTTTGGGTTTTGTTCATACCATATTGTTCCCTTTGTTTTCAGGAAAAGGAAATGTGCTGCCTGCCTGCATGCTTTATTGCGAAGACCAGACCACACCAGGAAGAGACGGGTTTGGGACCCTGCTGTGTGGTGACAAAGGTAAAACTAGAAAGTGGCCAAACTTCATCACACTTATCTTCTCTTCCAGAGTAAGCTGCTGAATTCAGTATTTCACTGACTATAATAAAAACAAAGATAAATGGCCATGATGGTGATGCCAGGATATGTTTCCTATATTCCTATCAGTGGGAAACTATCCTAGAATTAATAGATAGAGTGGATTGTATTATATATTGCTTAACTACAAGGTCAGCCATGCTATTCTCCAACTTTTGGACCAAGCAAAATACAAACTTCAATGTAAAAGCAAGGAATCAAAGAAACAATGATTTAAACAGAGAGATCCATGTATTTCAGATGATGAACTTCAGCTCTCCATGGACCTACACCAACTGTGTTTTGGAAAGAAAACTTGAAAGTCCAGACACCTTTGGTCCTTCAGAGCCTAGCAATGAAATTATTTACACCCCGTTCCTAGAATTAGAACTGCCGTCCCTTTAATTGTTCATCCCTTATGTATAGATAGTAGTATTAAAGGCCGCCTGCCTCCATCACAAAGCGGTTATAAGAAACCGATCAAAGCCAGTGCCATTTTCCCCCCAGTTCCTCAGCCTACAGATTTGTGGTGCTTCACAGGATAAACTTCAATTTAAATAGACCCGTTCTGTTCACTCACGTAGAGAAGCTAGTTACCTTTCAGAAACAAAGTAACAAAGTTGGGAAGTTCCTCAGCAGGAAATGTCAACTGTCATGACCATATATTTGTCAGAGTCCAATCCAAGGAGTGCGGGAGGCTGTTGGCAGGCAATGATTTCTGTGAGTGGAGAAGGGAAAGCAAGAAAAAAGCGTGTTAGCTATCAGACTCTCTGGCTGGTCCTTCCTCATCCCTTCTCCTTACCCACCTCCCAGTGCAGATGCTGAAAAAGCAGGATACGTCCTTTTCCAGCCACCCTTGTAGTTCAGAAAGACCGTGAAACCCCCTTCTGCCCAAACAGATGGAAGAAAGAGGGACTTTTTTTTTTTTGAGAGGGCATCTCTCATATTTATTGATCAAATGGTTGTTAACAACAATAAAATTCTGTATAGGGGATTCAATGCACAATCATTAATCAACCCCAAGCCTAATTCTCAACAGTCTCCAATCTTCTGAAGCATAGCGAACAAGTTCTTACATGGTGAACAAGGTCTCACATAGTGAATAAGTTCTTACATGGTGAACAGTGCAAGGGCAGTCATCACAGAAACTTCAGTTTTGGTCACGCATCATGAACTATAAACAATCAGGTCAAATATGATTATTCGTTTGATTTTTATGCTTGATTTATATGTGAATCCCACATTTCTCCCTTATTATTATTATTATTATTATTTTAAATAAAATGCTGAAGTGGTAGGTAGATGCAAGATAAAGGTAGAAAACATAGTTTAGTGCTGTAAGAGGGCAAATGTAGATGATCAGGTCTGTGCCTGTAGACTAAGTATTAATCCAAGCTAGACAAGGGCAGCAAAACATCCACGGATGCAGAAGATTTCTCTCAAAACAGTGGGGGTGAGGTTCTAAGCCTCACCGTTGATCCCCAATTTCTCACCTGATGGCCCCCCTGCGACTGTGCCTGTCTTAGGTTGTTCCTCCCTTGAGGAATCTTACCCATCTCTGGCTAACCAGTCATCTTCTGGGGCCATACAGGGAAATGTAAAGTTGGTAAGTGAGAGAGAAGCCATATTGTTTGAAAAGGTTAGCTTTTTACTTCTTTGCAGATTTATGCCCTGTGGCTTCTATGCCCCGCATTTGCCTTGAGGTATCTTTACCACTTGGAAGAATTGTGATACTCGGTAATTTTCGATATGAGGCACGAATTCTACTAAAGGGTTGTAATTAGGAAGGAAGAAGAAAAGCTATAGAAGTAGCAGAGGGAAGAAAACATGGAAGATTGATTATTTCTTTGACATATCTTTTTGTAAAGTAACATAAGCATGTATAGGTTTTAACAAACTACTAATTAAATTGTGTACACACATTAACATAATAGGAATACAGCTACATAACAAAAGCAGACCTACAATTACCAGCCATATCCAGTGAAACCAAGAAAACCAGTTAGGTACCCTAGGCATTTGTGAAAACTTATCAATGATATGATGAATATTGTCTAACTGAATTTGAATAGTTTGAGAAAAATCAAGACAAATTAGAACAACACATTCCTGGGAACTGTTCACATCCCATATGTTCTTTTAACAGTAGATAGTCTATAGTCACACGATTTTGGAGCACTGCAACTTACCCTTCTCCTAATTCTTGGTTGAGATCCGACAGTATAGATCCAGTCATATTTGTTGTTTGACTGTATGCAGAGGCCAGCTTAGATATCTCCTTCTTCATTCCCATGGCAAGTCCAGGAACCGGTGGGATGAATGCAGCTACTACTGCAACAGCGCCAGGATCTTCATTGAAGTTTTTTGATGATCATATTCTGGAATGACTCTTCCAGAGGATGTTGATGTTGGAAGTTCTTCTTCATATCGTATCATAATTTGTTCTCTGGGTAGCCAAACTAGGCTTTGATCCTCTTTATAAATACAAACAAACCCTTTGCCCACACTTTGATATGACCCTTATATCATTATGAAGAACCTATTGGTGATCACCACACAGGAACTGCTTTTTTTTTTTTAAGAGAAAGGAATATTATCAGAAAAATGTACTTCCATAGCTGATCATCTGACACCCTTTAAAAGATCAACATTAAGGATATGTAAAGCATGCATTAATCGTTGATTTGCAGTTAGTTTTATCCTATCAGGGAGTAATCCCCCTTTTCTTTCTCTTTTTTTTTTTTATCATTAATCTACAATTACATGAAGAATATTATGTTCACTAGTCTCTCCCCTACACCAAGTCCCTCCCACAAACCCCATTATAGTCACTGTCCATCCGCATAGCAAAATGTTGTAGAATCACTACTTGTCTTCTCTGTGTTGCACAGCCCTCCCCTTTCTCCCACCCCCCCATTATGCATGCTAATCATAATACCCCCTTTCTTCTTCCCCCCCAACCCCTCCCTACCCATCCACCCTCCCCAGTCCCTTTCCCTTTGGTACCTGTTAGTCCATTCTTGGGTTCTGTGATTCCGCTGCTGTTTTGTTCCTTCAGTTTTTCCTTTGTTCTTATACTCCACAGATGAGTGAAATCATTTGGTATTTGTCAGAAAGAGGGACTTTTTGGAAGGATTTTTATTCCTGGGTAAAAGGAGACAGACGTATGAGAAGATCTTTCTCTTGCCATCCTCACAGGCCCCCCAGTCCTGCATTGTACAAGCCCAAACAAAGACTGGCTGAATGTTGGTGTGGCAACCACTGGTGACCCAAGGACAAAAACTAAACATGCTACAGATGTTGGAGTGAAAGGAAAGAAAGAGCAGGGGACCCCATGATATTGTCACCAATCAATGTGGAAACGCCACCTTTAAATATCTTACAAAGTTCACAAGAAATGGCCTTTTTCACAGGTAGATTGTTCTATCTCGCATCTAAAAGAGCACATACTGACTTAGATTAAGCACTGGGACCTACAGAATTACAGGAGTTCTAAAAATATAACACAAAGTAACTCAAGAACAATGCAATAGTAACAGCCAAATCCATGAATAACTACTCTCAAACAGCTTGTTAGTTCATGGAAATATTTACCTGGCAGACTGAGAACCTGCTGGAACAATTCCAGAGTTCCTCAGCCTCCAGGTCTATTAAAAATGAATGCCAGACTTCTCAGGAAGGGATTTCGAAATACTTCATTGAGAAGTGCTTACTCACCCTACAGCCACAGCTATAAAGACTAAGGAAATCATAAGAATCATTCTGTACATTTATACAGCAAACATCTCTGGATTGATAATTTCATTTTGCTTTTATTAATAATTAATCTTTGTAATCTCCTGATGGGGACGTGGAGGGATAAACAATAATTGTTACCACTTTAGAGGAAAAGATACCAAGAGCATGAAATTAAGTCATTACCTAAAAACCACAGTCAAAATGTAGCCCCACATAGAGACAGAGAGTGAGCCAGCAGAGGCTAGAGTCCAGAAACGGCAAAGCCCAGTGTAGCTTCTGTCCAGGCATCTCTATCCTGACGACACAGCCGGTGACCCAAATGAGTCACTCAGTCCCTTGCACCTCCCAGAAACTAGGCAAAGATAAAAAGAGGACACAGATTAAAAAGACAAATCAAACCAGCTCATGAATATCATTATAAGCAAGGTATCTGAGTCATTTTTTTGACTCCTAAACGTTTAGAATAACAGACAGACAAGGAGGGAAAATATGAGGAAAGCACGAATAAAAAAGAATATACAAGAATACTTAAAAGTCAGAGATTTTCAAACAATGTCTACAAAGTAAGCAAAAATGGAGCAACCAGAAGGAGCAGAAAGGGTGGCAAGATGTTAGAAATAAGTTAATTATTACTCAAGAGTTGACTGAGGTTAAGTCAGCATTTTATTTTCATTTGTCCGTAAGGCATACTACAACCCTTTCAAAATAATGTGGCTTGAAATAAAGTCTACATACACCATAAGGCATTTAAAATATAAATAATACTGCCTGTGCAAACTCTTGCCCTGCCACATACTGACCAAGCGATGTAACTCCTCACTGCCTCAAAATGACCGACCAACTTTACTGGAGGAGCGACAGTATCACCAACTTCAAGCCGTTTTTATTTCACTGAAGTGTTAATTTATCTGAAGCTCGGAGAGCATCAAGTAAGATAATTTAAAGAATAATAAAACTATATGTCATTTTTAAACTACAGAAAAAGATAAAGTCCTGAAAGAGGCAGAGGAAATAAACACCTCACCTACAGAGGAACAAAGAGAAGAATTCCTCAGAAACCATGCAGGAAAGAAGAGAGTAGAGTGAAATACTGAAATATTTAAAGTGTTGAGAGAAAAAAAGCCACCAACCTAGAATTTTGTACCTTGAGAAATTATCCTTCAGAACTGAGGGAGAAATAAGGACATTCCCAGACAAACAAAAATTGAGGGAATTTGTTACAAACAGACCAGGCCTGCAAGAAATGTTAAAAGAGGTTCTTCAGAGAGAAGGAAAATAATACAGGTCAGAAACTCAGATCTACTAAAGAAAAGAGCATTGAAGAAGGAATAAGTGAAAGGTAAAATAGAAACTTTTCTGAATTGATCTAACAGGCTACAGTTGTTCAAGATAATTATAACTATAATATATTCCATTATGTATGCTTATGTATATACATCATGTACACAAATATGCCTATATAGGCTTATATATAAATGAAATGAATGACAGCAATGATACAAAGGATGGGAGAAATCAGAATTGTTTTGTTACTACAAAGAACTCACACTTGTGTACCCATGAAGCAATACAGTGTTACTTAAAGGTAGAGTTGGGTTAGTTGAAGAGGTATACTGCAAATTCAAAGGCAACCACTAACAAAGGCTAAAAAATTTTAAAAAGTATAATTGATATGTCAAGAATGGAGAAAAAATGGATCATATACATGCTCAGTTAAAACCAAAAGACAGATAAAGAATGGAGGACAAAGTAGGAACAGAAACAAGTGTAACAAATAGAAAACAATAACAAATATGGAGATATTAATCCAACTATATCAATAATCACTTTGAAGATCAATGGTCTAAATTCACCAATTAAAAGACAAAGGTTGTCAAAGTGGATCAAAAAACAAGACTTAATAATAGGCTGGCTATAACAAACCCACTTTAAATATAAAGACACATATAGATTAAAAGTAAATGGATGAAAAAAAAAGTAAATGGATGAAGAGTTCACTTATCTGAAGTTTCTAGAACACTGCCTCATCCAAAGTATATACTATGTAATTTTTTATTATTATTAGAATTTGATATTATAATTAACAGATGTTTTAAAAATATATTTGCATTTATGTATTTACTATGAACATCTGGGGGAGTTCAAGAATTGATCATATCTTAAGACACTAAGAACATCTCAATAAATTCTAAAAATTATACAATATAAAATTCACATTTTCTGGCTATAGAGCAAAGTAACCAATAATTTTTTTTATTTGTAAAATTTAAACATTTCCTCCCTACCATCACTCAATAAGACCTTGTTTCATTAAAGTCTCTCCCTTCCCATGCCCAGCTTTTATTTTTAACCAAGATAGTTGGCTTTCAAGTACAAGCCTAGAGAAAAGCTAACTTTGTTTTGTGAGGCATGTAAGGGAAAATAAGTTTTGCTCTGAGGTCAAAGAAGAATGCAGCAGCCCTCCCGGAAGAGGTTGCTGGATTCCATGAGACCAAGGGTTGGGGCCTCCTGTAAGTGGAGGATTTGGTTGTAGACTGGCTCCTTGCCCCCCAGGCAAGAACCAAATGCCATGGGTTTGAAGTTTTAGCCAAGATCCTCAAGGCCACATTTGACGTTGAGGGTATGGAAGCCACCATTACAAATTGCCTTCTAATAAAATATTGTTATAGTCATTTATTGTTACATAACAAACTATCCCAAAACTTTAAATTGTTGTTGACTTAAGACAAAACCCTTTTATGTATATATTGAATATCACTATTTTGTGGTTCTGGAATTTGGATGAGGTCAGCTATATGATTATTCTGTTCTGTGTGAGTCTCTCAAAGATGACTCTAGTATTCAGCTGGCAGGAGGGCCAGCCTGGAGGATCCCAGGATGGCTTTATGCACATGAAGGAGCTTTCCTGCACCTGTGCATGAACAAGGGTGGCTGAAGAACTGGTGTAGCTGGGTCTGTTGAATGGAGCACCACATATCACCTCCCAGTACAGCAATGCCAGTGTAGCCAGACATTGTACCTGGTGGCTCAGGACTCCAGGAGTGAACAAGGCAGAAGCAGATGGTCTTTAAAATTTATGGTCAGATGTCACTTACTGTCACTTCAGCTGTTTATTGGTCAAAGCAGTCACAAGCCAGCCCAGATAAAAGGAAAGGGCACATAACCTCAACCGCTGGATTAGCGGGAGTTCCAAGAATTTTTGCAGCCATGATTTTAGACTACAACTATATACACAAGGGCTAGGTCACTGAGAATGTCCCAAACAGACTGAAAATCAGGGGTCCTCCCTAATTTTATTTCATGGACTGCATAAGCCACTAGAATTCATATGTAATATGCCTAGTGGAGAGGGAGCCAGAAAGAGGCTGTTAGTTTAGTTGTGTCTTTAATCACATTAAGAAAATAACTACCAATTTGTATTTTACTAAAGCTTTAAAAATCTTATACTTTAAAAAAAAAGTTATTCAAGTAAAAAGTAAATAATTCTACAAAGCTTAAGTAAAATATTTCTTCCTCACTATATTGGTTGTGGTAATAAATACCACAAAGTTAGCAGCTTAAACAACACAAAGGTGTTACCTCTCAGCTGTGCAGATCGTAGTCTGGCACAGGTCTAGTCAAGCCAAATCCTCATGTCTGCAGGGCCACACTCCCTTCTGGAACCTCTAGTGGAAACTCTGTTTCCGTGCTCATTCCGGTTATGGTAGAATTTAGTTCCTTGAGGTTGTAGAACTGAGATCCCCCATTTCTCTGATGAAGACTGTTCTTTACATCTAGAGGGCACCCACATTCCTACGCTCATGGCCCCTTCCTTCCTCTTCAAAACCAGCAATGATGGTCAGGCCCCTCTTACACTTCTCACCCCTGCTT